GTAGTCCCATGGCGCATGTTGGACCTATATACCCGTGTTGGGTGTGATATACCCATGTTCGAGCAAGTGGCAGCACATATGACCAGGTCAGCCATTGGGAAATAGACAGGTGTGGGACATGTCCAAGGCCATTTTAGCGAGTTCGAGCGACGCAAGACAAACGTTGAGTGAGGCGCAGGCATCAGAGATCCGTCATCAACTCTGTGACAAGCAAGGACTTCGGGAGTGGTATGAGGACGTCACCGAATTCCTCCTGGAGGGACCACAAGCAATAGACCACCTATCCAGAGACAAGACGCGCTTGGTGAGATAAAAGCCCGAATCGTACTTGTATATGAGTGAGAGACCGGTCTATGATGCCATGTCACGAAGCTGTCAAGATCCCGCCAGAGTTCTTTCTCATATGTAACTCATCATCCAGTCACGATATCCAATATCAACGAAAGCCAAACCCGAAGACAGCTCGCCACCAACGCCAAATCGTCTTAAAGTACACGCCATCCAACCCACCAGAAACTCCCAATGAGAAAGCGCCGGTCCATCTATTTGTTATGCCAGATAAAGTTCCTCAGCGAATCCCACTCGCTGCTCTGCTGGTAAATATACGTCATGCTGCTGCGCAAACTAGGCTGCAGCTCCTGCGGCTGCCAACGGAACAGGTACATGACCATGGCCCAACTCGTGCTCGCAAAGACGGGCCACGCGTAGTAGCTAATCTTGGCGGAGACGTCGTCGCGGCTGACGACGGGGAGGCCCTTGCCGGGGGCCACGGCGAGGCGGGCGAGCGCCAGGACGACGCGCGCAAAGACGTAGATGACAATCTGCTGGTTCACGCTCGAGATCTTGCCACTGCGCGGCGAGCGCCCGCCAAAGACGATGTAGCCGCCCAGCAGGCCGGCGAAGAAGGAGTCATAGGGCCCTTCCTTGCCCGGGCTGGGGCCGTAGTTTTTGAGGAGGTACATTGTGAGCTTGTAGATTGTCGCAAACTTGGCGAGGTTGCGGGCGTGTGTTCGGGTCGCGCGGAATACAAGGCCTGCTTTTTGGCGGAGTCTGTTGAGGTTTGCTATGTTAGCCGGGAGGTGGTTTCGCTGGGGGTGAGGAGGGTGATCACGTACGTTCCAGAACGGAAGAGGAAAATCATGCTGTAGAGGGCCTGAAGTTAGCGTATTGACTCGACCATGAGAACGGATTGGAGGATGCGCTACATACACAAGGGCATGAGGAAAGCGGACTTTTGCGCCGTAGACGGCTCCATTGCGGGCGCCTTTGACGACGGCGAGAATGTCGTGGTACTTGGGGTCGAGGATGATGCGCTCGATTGCGGCCTATGAATGCGCGTCAGTCCATGCACTCTGGTCCTCGTTCGTATAGCTAGCTCTACCTTGAGGCCATCGAGGGCGGCGAGCGACATGTTTGGCAAAGGTCGTTGCTGGGTGTTGCGTCTATGTGTGGGCGGTCGCAGTGTCTAGCCTCGGCAATTTGTACTCTCCCCTAGTGGACGACGGAATGCGACGATGGAGTCGCTATCGGTTCAACAAAGCTTCCACTCGGCGCATGGAGATCGCGATCGTTTTGGAAAGGCAGCAAATGAGCGACAAGTACAGAGTACGTCTACGGAGGAGAATTTTAGGAGGGTTCGGACCGGAGGTAATGGGGAACGGGGTTGTGTGAAGTTGAGACGGACAAGTTGTGGTCGGGAGTCGTTTGGTGGTGGTGGTTGATGGGCGGTGGATGACCTTTGCGGCAAGGAGTGGTGGACGGTACCCGTACCTCGGCCCCAAGACCTGTCTGGTCCCACGGTTAGAGGTGAAATCTGGCTGGGTTCGGCTCTGGGCGAGTCACGCTGGAGACGGCTTGTCCCCAGCCCCCGGTTCCCCCACATGCCCCTATGACGCAGGGCCGGCGCGCCGCTAAGCCTTCCAGGGATTCGCCCGTCTGGGGAAAACGTCGTGGTGTTTGGGGGTTTTGGCATGTGATGACGGATGGCAATTGAGATAGGACAACATTGCCATTCAACTCCTAGTACTTATGAACATTCAAACAATTCATTCAGTCTTGCACTTCATTGTAATCCATCCGGACAATAAATCGGCCTTCATAATAAATCATATTCGAGCGAAATGGGTGTAGGATTGATGACAAGTAGGGACAATTGCAAGAGTCAATTAATGTCTTGGGCCTCCCACGTGTCAATGAATTCCATGTGAATCTCACTTGGCGCCAGTACCCTGTGGCGGCATGAGCATTCCTTGAACCCCCGATTCTTCACATGTGCTTAAGACTTGCAGCACCAATAGTGCTCATCTCATCTCATCTCAGTCCCAATTCACAGCGCAACGGTCATAACTTCACGACTTACCCCAAAGAGTTTATAGAGATGAGATTTTACAAGATGAAACTGCGGCATCTCACTATGACAGGATACTAGTTTGCGTAGACATGAACCCCACAGTCAACATTCATGCCAGAGATGGCATCGAATCTCAATCCACCCTCAGTTCTTGGGCTCGCAGACTGCAATAAACGGCGATGTTACACCTAAGCAAAGTTAGCCACACAATTCATACATCAAAACGCAGAAGGCAGAACCGGCACTCACCACCAAAAAACAATCTCCCCGTCTTGGCGTCGTGTACAACCGTAGTAGTCCCAGGCAACACCTCCCCAAGCCCGTCCTCGATAATCTTCTCCCACACGTAGACGCCGTCCCCCTCCTTGCGAATACGCACCGCGGCGCTCTTGGGCCTCGCGTTCAGCGGGTCCTTGGCCGCTTGCAGAATCTCGATGCCCCGCGGGAAGATGGCGGCGTAGACGTCGCCCTTGCCGTCTACCGAGAGGTTGTCGATGGCGTATGGCACGGGGATGTCGACCACTTTCTTCAGTCCGTTGCCGTCGTTGCCTGAGAGCACTTCAAACACCTGCACGCCACCCGCCATGGAGCTCGGGACGTAGATGAGGCCGTCGAGGCCGCGGACGAGGCCGTTGGGCATGCGGTGACGTTCGGAGACGCGCTTGCATCCCGTCGAGGCGGAGCAGAATGATACGTCGCCGTCGCCCATCAAGGGGCCGATGAAGAATTGCTACAAGTTACGGTGCATCAGCTGAACCTGTTCCTATCTTGAACATTGCATGTTTTTTTCGCTTACCAGCCCGACTTTGTGGGGCCCATTTGCATTCGTAAAGTAGAAATCCTCGCTAGACAATGCAGCGATGTTGTTCGGCGTCGAAATATTGGCGCTGGCAAACGTGCGGACGTGCTTCATCCCCATCGCCTTGGGCCCGGTCTCGAAAACTTCAATTGTCGAGTTGGCGCCCACGCTCTTCTGGTCTAGGAGAGTGCCAGTGACGGGATCGACGGAAGGGCCATTGTTGACCACGAGGATCTCAACTCTATCGCCCTTCGGTGCGTCAATACCCGTGATCCCGACGAGCTGAAGCAGTCCGTCGCCGGCGGTGCCTGTAAACCCCGGCGTCTCGAGAACGCGGTACTCAAATGCATCGCCCTTGGGTATGTCAATGTCCAGCGCGATGACGGCGTCTCGCGTGGAGCGGCCCGATGCGTTCATGTGCTGTGCGCTAGACGTCGGAGCGGGATGAGGTTAGCTTGCCTTTCCGGATCTCACCGATCCGGCCCGGGAACGGGGAGCGGGGCGATAACACGGGACGGGACGGGTACGGAGATGGGAGGGGCTGCTATTAGAACACGTACTTTGGTAGCCATTGCTGGCGAGAGAGGGGATCAGAACAGGCGAGGAAGAGCTGGCGTGTAGCCTCGGACAGCCACATATCCTCGCATGCCTGCAGTCTTGGATCCTCTATACGACGGCACGAGTAGGGGAAGTCGGAGAGAGGCTGGAATTCCTTGCCGATTCCCAGGCCCAGCCAAATGGGATCCTTGAGCACGAGCTGCAAGGCCACGCCGAGGATCACGGTGAAGATGATGCTCGTTTGGAGGATGAATCCCATGATGAATCGATGTAATCTAAGCCCCCCACGATGCTTGTCGAGATGCGAAAAGACAGACGATATCTTGGCGAAGGTTTGTTCCAGCTTTATAGTTACGGGAAATGTTGGGAACAAAACATGGCAGGTAGGGATCCCTCATTAAGCGAATTCAACGCATGAGGTCAGATCCTTCGGGCACTACCGCTTCGTGATCCACTGTGAAGTAAGCTCGCAAGGGCTTGTCAGAAATAAGGTACTTCTGGATGCCGAGCTCCGTTCGTTTGCTTGGAAGGTCTAGTCGAACCTCAGAAAATCTCAATTATAAAGGATATATCTGGTTCGGCATGGGACTTTGGATATTGGTACGACTTGGAACTGTGTGAATGACGACAGGCTCCCCGACTACAGTGGGCCGACTGAGAGTCTCCTCCGTGTCCGTCGGGTCAGTGCATCGCCGAAGCTCGCTAAGTCTCCGAGGAGTCTCCGTGGAGCCAGAACTCCGGTCTGACCTTCCAGCCGGCCGAAGCCACATCGGAGGGTTGCGTTGGACCGTCCCTGCTTATCTGGCCTCGCAATTAATTTGTCGCCATGGTTTTGTCTCCAACGAGTAATAGAGGAAAGAGGCGTGGGTTACCGCCGTGCTTTCTCCTCCACCTCATCTTAGGCTACATGCCGCCTGCCAGCTCATGCTAAGCCTCCCCGCCTTGTTGTCTCGTTTGCCAGATGAGAAATCACATCTCTTCTTTCTGCCTGAAAATGTTGACCGCAGTTCTCTCCTTTTTCTTTTCACTCTATCTCTTTCCCTCTCGGACCTCCTTCCTCTCTTGTCATTGCATTTCTCATCATTGGTCGTCTAATATATCCTATCTGCAGCCTCTTCCAGAAGCATCATGCCAACGGCGCAGCCTGCTTATGGCAGGCTACACATCCAATAGGGTGGCCAGCGCCGAGTCACACGACATAATCATATTGGTTCGAGGGCTCAAGTGAGGCCGAAATATTGATTCCTGGAGCGCTGCCTGGCACCTCCAAGATATTTATTCTTCTGTTTAGGCCTACGAGCCACGCTTATTATCACTAGGTTTCCCTCGTGTCGTCTCGATGTCGGTCGCTCTCCAACATTCACCACGGATAGCCAGTGGGCTAGTACGATCTGCTTTGAGCGATGCATGGCTTTTACAGCTTGTTTCTACTGTTTGCGACTACAGTCCGAGCAGAAAAAGATATCGAGGGGATCACCAAGCCGTCGGATGTCTTTTGGCAGCTCGCCAATTTGAATGAGAGTGCTCCTGAGAACTCAGGCAATGTCTACCTCGGCGGTCAGAACTACACATGGTGCTGCCTCAAGGCCGTTGAAGCCGGGTTGAAAATCCTCGAGAACGGCACACTAGTCATTCACAACAATTCGATTACCAATATTAGCGTCTTGACAACCGGTGATCTTCGGAGCGCCGCCAATCGAAGTCAGTTTCCATGCGATGCCAAGTATAACGATGTAAGATCTACCACGGCCACAACCACCGAGTCTGCTGAAGCTCATCCGGAATGTAGGCGCATCTTGGTGGTGCACCTGAAGTACGAGTCCAGTACGAATGGTTCATCAAGACCTGTCCGGGTTGGTCTCTTAGCGACAAGTCTAACTTGAACGCCTGGCTTCATTCACTCTCGGGTTTCTTGGTACCAGCAGTTGTTTTCTGCTTATCAGTGCCTAGGCGTCGCAAACTTCATGTTCCTCGGTACGCTTGGTCCAGCGAAACACTTTCTTATTTTACTTATTTTGAATTGCTCTGATCTTGTATTAGCCACTTATTCACAGCGGACATTGGCGGCATCAAAAGCATCATCCCAGCAATTCTCGGTGCTATCATAGCAGGCTTAATTGTCACAGTCGACACGATCATATGGCTCTCCATCTGCTTCGCCTTCGCCGGCCCCATGATTCTCAGTGGTCTTTACGAGGCGTTTTTAGACAACCGGGTTCTAGAGTTCCTCCGGAATAAAATCAATAACAAGCGCTTGACGCTCGACATGCGTTGCCGCTGTCTCATGTTGATACTCATTGGAAACCTAGATCTCGCCTTATCGCAACCCCCTGTTGCTGTTGACCAACAGCGTAGAGATGTAGAAACAGCTACGGATGGAGCCGAACCTCAATTACATCAACCACCAGCCTCGACCGATACCACGTCCATTTCCCTTCCGACTCGGAGCAGTGGACAGCAACCCTCCGTACAACCAAGTGCCAGTAGCGGTTCCATGATGAGAGGGCTTCTACGTCAAACCACAAGTCACTTGACGGCATCCCCGTGGCGTCATATGGAAAACATACTTGACGGTCTTCGGCTTTATGATGATGATCTTGATCCCGACAATGTGTCTCCTCGTCAGTGGGCTAGACGTGGTCAAAGAGAGTTGCCCCGAACACGAGAAACCGACCGTTGCATTATAAGGACGAAAACCCGACTACGCACTATGCTTCACTGCCAGTATTCATTTGGGTCCATTGTTGGAGCACCCGTGATGTTAGTGATATTATTCTTGTAAAGTAATATTACCTAATTTGTGCTAATAAGACTTAGATTCTTCATTGGAGGATTCATCTTCTCCTTCCTGACAAGCCTCGACGAACTTGGCGACGAGAACATCGCGTAAGTCGTTGACCAGCGTTTCGTCACTTCAAGGTACGGAATAGAACTAATTGGAAAATGAAGCGAATCCATCGCCTTTGGATCTTGGTACATGGTTAGTGGATTCAGCCCCTGGGTAAAAAGAATCATTGGTTAACACGAAATAGATCATTCCTCACATTGCCATCATTTCTGGTCTACTACTCGCAGGCAATAATCCGAATATTCTCGAAGGTGTTCTAGCCACAGAGCGTGACCCCAAAACCCCCGAAGACCCAAAGGAAGTCTTCGGCTTCTTACGCTTCGATCTTGTCTATCCCAGTTGCTACAAAGTAGCTTGGCAATGGCTGCGCGGTCACACTAAGAAACGATGGATTGAGAAGCTTCTTGCCGTCTATAGTGGAAACATCGACATTGATTACGAGAATGACGAAGACATCGATGGAGATATGAAGGACCTACGAAACACCACCACTTTATCGCTGCTCGACTGGTTTGTTCTGCTCTTTCTTACCTTGCTGCTGGTTGGGATCCCTTACTTGTTCGCGTTCATGCTGGCATACTTTACTCCTCAAATTGGGCTATCCTGTCGCTCCTTGACGTTTCTGGTGTATTTCGGTCTCCAGATTGCACAGGTCGGTCTTTGGCTTTGGGCCTATGTCGGTCCTCCAGGCATTATCGAGGGACATACAAACGTCATCAATGCCACCATCGACATCAACGGTAATGCCAACGCCGCGAATCCCGTCAATCTCGCCAACGGCACTCACAATACCAGAAATATGAGTAACATGAATATGACCAACAAAACCAACAGCACCGCCAACACCGCGAACGACCATCATCGGGGCGTGTTTGGGAGAGGAGGATGGCTAGACAAGCGAGGCTTCTTTGATCCTTCGAGAGCTCCATGGCATGCAGATCCGCGACCGCCCAGGATCAATTCCGATCCCGACTCGAACTCTGTGTCCAAGTTTAGACTTTTTCTAAATCACATGAAAAGGCCAAGATCCGATGTTCCACACAAATACTGGTTCTTGTTGTGGTTCTTTCTCTACTACTCATTGCAACTCATTTTCGGACTGGGTGCCGTCTTCGTCAGCCTCGGGGGCACTTTGATGCAAATCATGGGTGTTTACCGCACCAACATGTGTTTCATTAACGCGCATCACTGGTTGGAGCCAAAAGAGAGACGGCCGCCGGTCGTGCTGTCGGTCAACAGCCGGGCGATGATTAACTCTGCTACCAGTAAGCTACAGACCATACTTTCTTTGTTAATTAGGGAGGACTCATAGCTGCCTGGGGAGACCACGATTTGACATGTGGTAGCATACTGGGAGCCAGTCGCCATCGCCGCCATAGCCTTCATGGCGGTCGTGAGCTTCGTAGGATGGTGGTACCAGCGACGTATGCGCGATGTATTCGGACAATGTGAGTCTCGCGAAACACTCGGCAATGATATTGATTATGGTGCTATTCTAACAAGGAGAAAGTGGTGAAGAAAATTGACCAGCCAGATCTTAGACGCGTTCCACACCATGTTCGGCCGGCTTCAGAAACCGGGACAGACCATGCCGTTGGCAATCAACAAAACTCATCGTCTTGAGAAGACCAGTGGCAACAATGGATGCTGCAGTTTAGAGTTTCATTCCTGAGCAAACGAATAATTCTTGGCCACATTCAAAAAAACTTCATTTAATTCCAGCTTGCTCTCTCTCTCTCTCTCTCTCTCTCTCTCTCTCTCTCTCTCTCAAATGATGTCGTTTATGGATGCTTCAATGGTTGCAATACCCGAGGAATTAGGCTTTACGTTTAAGAAGTTCAGGGAAGAGATCCCAAGGATTGGAAGGTTGTAATTCGTTGCCATTCGCTCATCTCCCCAGTGCGGAGAACATGTCCGTCGTTCATCATGAGCCAACATCATTGTCGCCGCCGATGTTTTGTTCGCACATCCAACGTTACATCCCCCAGCATCCGCATCAAGTGCTAATAAGGATTACCGTCAGTAATAATGGAACATGCTTCCATTGTGGATTTGGGCAGCAAGCCAGCATGCCAAGGGCTCAGTACCACTATGCATATCCTGATCAAATGCGCAGAGGTGATACGTTGCGTTATCAGGCCTCAATTCCAGAGGACAGCCTTCAAATGTATCGTTGATATTGCGCGTCGTGTTGAACGACTTTGAGGTCGGATGTAGTTGGTTTAGCTCATACCAAAAATCCAGAGTGGCACTTTCTGTAGAAGCAAGCACACGGCGAGCACGGGAACAACCGCCGCTAGATTAGGAGAAGCCATATTGCAAGTAACAAAGCCGAAGTGGTGAACGTTAGGCACCAGCTTTCGACTTGTGGTGCCCAGACAAGGATTGAGTGCGACCGACGGGGTCGGGTCTCTTCAATGTCAGCCCGCGGCTTCTGGGGTCCCTGTCCTCTCACCTGTGATGTGGAGCCCCGAGAGCCGCAAGAGGGAATCAATATTTCTGACAGGATGAACAGGATGGTTTATTGGACGAGTTCTACGAATACACCGCTTCCTGCAGGGGAAGCCGGGATTTTACGTGGGTGAAGGATTCAAGGACAGGAACTCAGCCCAGCGCGAATCTCCACAGCGTAGATGCAATTGATCCTTCAATGGCATCCGTAGAGGCATTCAGCAAGCTTCTGCTTCCTGGGTAGGCAGCCAGATTGAGATGACCAGGGAGAGAGGGAAAAAGTCATCCTTGATCAAGTCAGCTCGTGGAGTTGACATGATGCCACAAAACTCTTGGTACTGGCTCCGACATGCCGCGCTTACAAGACGCGATGGAAATGGAAACACATAAAGAGTCCATCATGAGACGCCTCAACTCGTTTTGATGTATCGCCACCCATAGGTCGACAAGAAACCCCCCCAAGACTAGAATCATAATGTTCAACCTCGCGAAGACCCTCACCGCAGGCCTGGCCCTCGTAGGCCTGGCCACCACCACGCCGGTATCCCTCGACAAGCGCCTGCCAGGCCGCGTCGTCCGCGCCGGCGACCCCGTCGTCATCGACCCGACCGGCAACTACATCCGCGTCAGCTTCATGAACGACGGCACCCTCATCGGCGGCTACGCGGCGAAAGAAGGCTCGACCAGCATCCTCCGCGTCGTTCGCTCCACCGACGGCGCGCAGTCCTGGCAGCGCATCGGCGAGGTCTTCCGCGGCGAGAGGGCGACGCACGACATTGACAACGCCATGCCGATCCAGCTGCCGGGCGGCCGCATCCTGTACGCCTACCGGAACCACGACCGCACGGGCGCTGAAGGGCACTACACCTACTTCCGCATCTCCGTGTCGTACTCGGACGACGGCGGCGCGACGTTCAAGTATCTGTCTACCGTCGAGGAGCACGTGCCCAACGGCGTCAACGGGCTGTGGGAGCCGTACCTGCGTCTGGCGAGGGATGGCACGCTGCAGTGTTACTATTCGGCCGAGAACTCGGCTGATGACCAGGACAACTTTATGAAATACTCCAAGGACGGCGGTCAGACTTGGTCGGCCTGGATTCCTGTCTCGGGCGGCCATCGTTTGTCCCGTGACGGTATGGTCGGTGTTGCGCCTATTGGCAACGAAGGAGACTTGATGTAAGTTGGGTGGTAATCAAGCTTCCCTACCCATCCGGAAAGAGAAACTAACAGCGAGCCCTTCACAGTGCCGTGTTCGAACACACCAGAGAAGGCAGGTTCAACGTCGATTACGTCCTCTCCCACGACGACGGCTACACCTGGGGCGAGCGTGGCAGCCTCTACACGGCGCGCAACGGCCGCATGTCGGGCGCGCCGCAGGTGTACAACGTATGGGGCACGCTCGTCGCCAGCTTCATGACCAACGAGGACGTTGAGGGTGCCGACGGCTACAACTTTGGTGAGATGAAGGTCATCACCAGTGTCGACCACGGCAAGACATGGAGCGGCAGTGTCGTGACGGGACCCGCGCAGGCCCATTGGCCTGGACTTTTCAACAGGGACCCGACGCATTTCCTGGCGCTGTACTCAAGAGAGGGTGTCGGCGCTGTTAGTCAGTTGTATGAGTTGGTGAACTAGGCATAGGGGTCGTTTAAGAATCGGCCAAACTGTCGCGTATTGTTGTTTGGGGCTGTGTATGAATGGTTCACCGTTGGAGTAATATGATAATGACTTGGATGAAATTGTTTGACTGTTGCTCGTGTCGTCGAGCACGCTCTGTGCATGGTGTCAAATCATTTTCAGAAGATGTAGCTGAAGTTCAATAACGACCTTGGCCAGATTGTTCTCCATAGAAAGGATACGGATGTCCTCCATCCACTGCGGAAAATACACTGGACGTAAAAGAGTTGACATAGCTGCCAGAGGGAACGGACTGAGCTTGAGATGGGCCAGGCATTTGGTCAACTGCATTTGGCGCTGCCTGCGATAATCCGTTTGCTGGCAGATTGGAGCTCGTCTGTTTCTCCGAGGCTCGCGTTGAATCAGGAGCCTTCACTGCCCCTGTTTTCTTTGGTGGATTCTTCTTCTTGACGGGTTTCCTCTTCCTCTTCTTCAAGGGCTTTCCATTTGCATCGACAGCGTCTTCGTCGACAACCTTCCGCTTGCGCCCGCGTGCCTCTGGGAGATCCGGGTTGTTGTGGCGCGTACGGTCGCACCCGTACGGGTCCTTCAGAAGCTCGCGACCTGTTCGCTCGCTGATATCGAAGAACTCATAGAGATCCTTCCTCTTGAACTTATAACCCTAAGCAGTAAGAAATGTCTAGGCCCCACGGAACCGTGCCTTTTTAGGCGTGTCGTGCTCTTTATGGCCCATGATGGTGGTGGTTCGATAGTGAGCTGGGCATCTGTTGGACAAACATGGGTGTAAGCGCGTGTTAGATATTACCTTATAAACCGGCAGTGTATTTTGATGACGGTGATAAGGAACGACGAAGCTCAGCTGAAGCCTTGCAGGTGGGACCAGCTGGCAGTCTTAGATACAGGCACCTTCAATGCCGCGGGGTGATAAGATAAGATTTTGCATCCTGGCGATAACGATAAGCAATTTTTTTGACGGCGGCTTCAACTTTACCGCAGAATTGAGATCAGTTCGCATCCCAGCCACTTGCATCAAAGACCCGACGGACGACAGATTCGACCACCGGCACAATGCTTCGTCAAATGTGAGTCGCGGCAACCGCACAACGTAGCCATGCAGACAAGTAGCTAATAATTGCTCAACAGAAAACCCCGTAATGCTCGCTCCAAGCGTGCGCTCGAGAAGCGCGAGCCCAAGGCCCAGTACGTTCCCCCGATCTCGACGAACAAGTTTGACCATGATCGCAAGCTAATTCAGCAACCTTTCTCTCAAACAGAGAAAACCCCAAGACGGCATTGTTCCTCCGCGGAAGCTCATGCTCGCAAGTGACACAAGATGCCATCAACGAGCTCTACCAGATGCGCCAGCCGCTCGCCAAGCGCTTCGTAAAGAAGAACGACATCCACCCCTTTGACAACGCCGACTCGCTCGAGTTCTTCTCGGAAAAGAACGACGCCTCCATCCTCGTCTTTGGCCACACCTCCAAGAAGCGACCCCACGCCCTCACCCTCGTCCGCACCTTCAGCTACAAGGTCTTTGACATGCTCGAGCTCTACCTCGACCCGGACACCTTCCGCACCCTCGCCCAGTTCAAGGGCAAAAAGGTCCCCATCGGCCTCAAGCCCATGCTCAACTTCGCCGGCACCGCCTGGGACAGCCCCATCGCCAACGAGTACACCCACGCCAAATCCTTCTTCGCCGACTTCTTCCGCGGCGAGCCCACGGACAAGATCGACGTCGAGGGCCTGCAGTGGATCGTCTCCATCACGGCCGACGAGCCCACCGACGACGCCGCCAAGCCCGCCATCCGCCTTCGCGCCTACACCATCACCACCAAGCGCAGCGGCTCCAAGGTGCCCCGCGTCGAGGTCAACGAGATTGGGCCCCGGATGGACTTCCGCGTCGGCCGCGTGCGCGAGCCCGAGGAGGGCATGCTCAAGGAGGCCATGAAGAAGCCCCGCGGCACCGAGGAGCGCACCAAGAAGAACATCACCACGGACGCCATGGGTGACAAGATGGGTCGCGTGCACGTCGGCCGCCAGGACTTGGGCGAGCTGCAGACGCGCAAGATGAAGGGTCTGAAGCGCAGCAGGGACGTGGCGAGCGAGGACGAGGGGGAGAAGGGTGACGCGGAGGAGAAGCCCAAGAAGGGTCGCAAGGAGTAAAGTGCTTGGAGTGACAAAAGAATACGGCGACGGTTATGAGAAAGAGAGAGAGAGAGTGTGTGTGTGTATGTGTGTATTGCGGAGGAAACTTGATATACATATCCGAGTGGGAAAAGAGACGACGCAGCGGAGGATCGACCACTCATTGGCGTTTTGTTTTTGGTCAGGAGGCATCCCACGGTTGGAGTTTTGAGCTTCTTTCAGCAGATGGTCGGCAGATTACAAAAGCAGGAACAAAGTCGCAAAAAGCATTTGAAGACCTCTATTCATTCCACTACAGCCATGCTTCTTTCTCTAATGTAGGCCAACTAGGTGATGTTCGCGCTGATGGGACATCAACTAACACGACCACCTCACTCACAGCTTCAGTTCAAGATCCGAAACCCTCCAGACCAGACGCTCACCG